GAAGCTCGGATTCCTTGGTCATACAGTTTTTGGTTTGAACTCCCTTAGAAGCTCGGATTCCTTGGTCCTACAGTTTCTGGTTTGAACTCCCTTAGAAGCTCGGATTCCTTGGTCCTACAGTTTCTGGTTTGAACTCCCTTAGAAGCTCGGATTCCTTGGTTCTACAGTTTCTGGTTTGAACTCCCTTAGAAGCTCGGATTCCCTGGTCCTACAGTTTCTGGTTTGATCACCCTTAGAAGCTCGAATTCCTTGGTCCTACAGTTTCTGGTTTGAACTCCTTTAGAAGCTCAGATTCCTTGGTCCTACAGTTTCTGGTTCGAATTCCCTTATAAGCTCAGGCTGTAGGACCAAGGAATCTGTAGGACCAAGGAATCCGAGCTTCTAAGGGAGTTCAAACCAGAAATTTCTGGTTTGAGCTCCCTTAGAAGCTCGGATTCCTTGGTCATACAGTTTCTGGTTTGAACTCCTCTACATTTCCCTTAGATGCTTGGACGCCTAGGTCATATAGTTCCTTTATAAGTTTGATTTCTAGGTCATACAGTTCCAAATTTGAGCTCATCTACGTTTCTTTAGGGGCTTGGATTCTCATGTCGTATAATTCTTGATGTGAACTCTTCCACGTTCCCTTTGTGGCTTGGATCCCCATTTCATGCAGTACCTGGTGTGAGCTCATCTAAGTTTCCTCAGAAGCCCCAACCACAGGCCAGTAGCTACTGGGGACGCAAACATCTGACCCCTCTAAAATCATTTTAATTATATATATATATATATATTGTCTCGGGCCCCAAAAGATGGCAGCACGAAGCTTGTCAAATGGACGTACAAACTAGTGTTTTACATAAGTAACAGGCATGAAATTTAGATGTTTGTGCGTGTATTTATGGCTGTACAGTGAATAAAGATTTTTGTTTGTGTTATAAACTCTTAATCCTGACTTTCTCTTTATTATCCGCTTTTCTCACATAACATTTTCCCTTTAAAGTTTCTCTTGCTGTGGATCCAGTCATTATCACAACTCCTGTATAAGAACACGTATAAATATTTCACATTTGAGCTTCATCCGTTTACTGTTAGGAAAATGGAAGTGTTTTAGGATGGCTAAAGGAATAGTATGCAATTATATGAATGGATGTTTAAATTATACTTACAACTTAATTTCTCGTCTGTTTCTCCTACGTTTTCTTTTCTCTGTAATCTTGATAAGTGGAATCCACATCCTTTGGTAGTTTTAGCTTCAGGAAATAATTCGTGAAAAACTATTTTTGTTTTTCTTTTATTATCCACCAGAAAAACTTTATCATTTGTTGTTATATACAAGTAGAAATAAGAGAGCGACACACAAAAAAGGTTAAATCTACGTTCTCAAATCTTAGGTCATGTTTCAAAGAGCCCACCAAGAAAGCATGATTGTCAACCTACCATCGTTCTTCACGTTCACCTAATTGTTAATACGAGTTAGGCTTTCTATGTCAGTTTATTTCAGAGTATAATACTTTCAGCATACTAATCATAGTATATACGTCATACGTTTTTCGCCCAATTAGTCTTAGACTTTCTTCTTCATAATTAAGATTGTGCTGAATTAAGGTTTTTTATTTTCATGCAGTATAATGCCACTATCATCACAACAACAGATCAAGGGTTAAACAGGGAATAAAATATAGCAAATGTATTGTTATATCTCAGAGAAAACAACAACAACAACAAAAAACTTTGCTTTTTTATTTATAAATATTAAGTAGTATTAGTCTCGATGAGTAACAGTGGAATGGACGGAAATTTCCTGTTGTAGAGAAATCACAAGTGTAGAGGATGACGTTTCGAAAATCTTCCTCTAGTTGTGTTTTCTACAACAGGCAATTGTCATCCGTTTCAGTGTTACTCACCATGAATACTCTGCCTAAATCATCTATCAAATAACAGTATTTGTCACATTTTATCACTAATATTCAGTTTCATCTCACAGGTAACGAAGCCTCGCAGTCACTTAGAGTACAACGAGTAATGGCTGGAGTTATAACTACTATACTTGGAAGCATGGAAATTGATTACGAAACTCAAGATGCCTGCATCTCCAAAAAAGATGGCACAAAAAAATGTCGTAAGCGGGTCAGCTTTAAGTCTAACACCTGGTACAGTTCTGTTGACACGTTCAACGTTCCACATATTGGTTATGCAGGGGTACGTTTTGATCTTCGTTGTATTTTTGTAACATATATTTCCCTAAACTATAAATTGCAAAACACGTTAGAATAACGGCATATTCGTATAGGTTGGTGTTAATTTAATAGGACTAAATTGGCCCATGTTTCACTAAGGTATATAAATATTGGGACATATGTATTGTGAATATGTAAGCTAGGATTATTATTTCAGCCCATTAACATCAAAATTTTTATTCATATCAAAACATAATCAAGACATTTAGATACGAGTGTGACTGAGTTAATTATTCAAGAGCCGATTCTTCGCTCAGCAGCTCCTCATCCAGTATTCTCTGTCCTTTTCATCTTACCATATGATCTCCCCCTCTTTTAGATCGTTCGACAATGTTTTTCTCTTCTTACTCCCTTGAATACTCCTTTCCAGGACATCTTTCCTATCTCCCTGTGTCCCACCGATATCTTTTCGAAATGTTTCTCATCTAGGTCATATTTTCCTCTACCATCTCGAACACTTCCTCTTTACTTATTCATTCAATCTAGCCGATAGTTTCCATTCGGAACCAGACCCAAATCTCAAAGCTTTCCAATATTTTAATTTTTCTTTTATAGTATCTATTTATTTCGTTTTGTTGTTATTACACAACGGGGTATGTCTGCTCTGTCCACCACGGGTATTGAAACTCGTTTTCTAGTGTTGTAAGTCCACAAACATACCGCTGAGCCACTGGGTGAGGATTATCAGTGTCTGTGTCTCTGCTCAAAACAACGCCATATTTCAAATAATAGTTTTGACGAATTTTTTTTTCAACTCTGTATTCATCAGTCTGATCAGTAGCTCCTTTCTATTTTCTAAATCGCTTTATTTATATATATATATATATTCGTATCATATATACAAGAGATACGAAACCATTCGCATAATAATTAGGATGATTTTACTTAATATAAGTTAATGCAATTATACATCCAATGTTATTAGAATGATACCATATAAAGGTGACGTATCTACTCAGAAGATGCTAGATTGATTGTATTAACACATAATGCTACCGTTAGCATAATTCTACTTTCCACTCGAAATAACGGTGATCATGACTGAGATGACTGTACTTAAACATCAATACCCTTTGAACCTACGTAAAGATGAGTGTATTAGAGTAATGGTACATACACTTAAAATCGGTATAAATATACTTACCCATACAGAACCCATAACTAACAATTCGCAGAAACATACAACATATATTCATAAACCTTTTGACATTTTTCAATCACTATTAGACGTAGTTATTAATTGTTTTTGTTTGTTTCAGATGGAAATTAAAGCCAAGTACAAACTTGTGTCTCAAAGTCCAGCTGGTGCCCGAATAACTTTGTTATGTGCTATGTTACAAGTGAAACTATCATAAAAATGTATTTCTTAATTTTTTATGGCCATGTTAAGATAGATATATATGTTTTCTTTTAAAACGTATTTTTGATAATCATTACATTTGAAAAAAAAAAGCAATCTTTATACAAAGGAATACAAATCTACAACTTACTCCATTTGTAGTTTTGAAATAAAAAGTCAATTGAAACAACTTTATTTGCATACCGGCATACAATAACCAAGCAAAAGAAAAAAAGGGGTAATAATGAAACAAATACGTTTAACAAAAGTGAATTAAAAATAAATTAGTTTGTTATGTCACAGTGATAATGACTATTTGAGCCTCGAGCTGGATGTTTTCAAGTTTAAAGGATTAACTCAGGGTGATAAAGTCGTATTTATAGACTTTCTTTTTTCGTAAAGGTGTCTAAAGTCTAAACACGTATTTAAAAAATCACAAATAGAATCGAATGAGTGAAAAGATCAAGAAAAGATAAGGATAAACATATATATATATATTACCATGGTTCTATTTGGATACTTTAAGTCTTATAGTGCTATTATTCTTCAAACTCAAGTATTATTATTATTATGCCCTTGTCCTTAACATACTGACTCTTACTATGAAACCAAATTCGATCGTTTTAATCCCAGTAAAGGGTTTTTACTCCTGACACTCAAATATTAGTGTTTCTCTATTCATGGCACATTAACTTTTACTATGAAACCGAATTTGACCTTTTAAAGTCCGGTAAAGGTTTTATTTTTAACATTCAGCAGTAACGTGCAGAGGATAAGGAGGGATTCATTGACAAAAAAAGGCACTTTTCAAGTAATATAAAGCCAGCCTGGGTGTTTGTGTATGTAAGAGGAGATTATGGATTGCCTTTCGTACACATATGGTAAAAAGTCATAAGAAGCAAGAAGATCTTTTTTTTATTGCTATTCAGTTGGTTTTATAAACACTTAAAATCTAAAATTAAACGATAAATTCTTATGTATTAACATGTAATACCATATGACAAGTACTTTTTTACTGTATAGACCTGTCGTTTCTATGCATCATTCCGGTATTTTAAAGATGAAATATATATATCTATATTTCCCTTGAAAACTTACAACAAGCAAGATGTGGAATTGGGCGTATCCTGTAGCATTTTTTGACAAATTTTTATGGCTGAGAAAAAGGGTACTTTTAGGGCATAATGAACATAAGGGCTTTAGTCTATCCAGCCATCCACCCTCCGCCCCCCTCCTCGTGCACGTCACTGACACTCATCATTATTCTGCCTCTATTTTTAATACATTTGCTCTTACTGTTCGACCAAATCC